TAAAGTTGATAACCATCCTTAGCTGCTAATTAATATGAATTTTCTCTTTTACATACTTATTATAGTAGTATTATTTTTGAAAATAATGAAATTAATATATGTAWAAGMTYTKWATCTTTTAGATGTGATGATTTGCCACATTTTTAGAGGAAATTTAATGTTCTTAATAAAGAGAATTGCTATTTTTTCAATTAACGTACATGCTGTCGCCTAGGCGACTAGGCACCCTAGTGTCGCCTAGAATCACCTAGACGCCTTGAAAACTATGGATGAAATCAAAATTGAGGCTCTGGTGCTTGCAGGTGTTCTTTATACATCAAATGAAAGATAAGACCTATTCTAAATCCCTGATTTGTAGTCTAATTGCTCTTTTTCAAGCTTTGGCCAATTCTAGTGTCCTGAGCATCATCCAGAACAAGTTCTTAGGCAGACCATTTGATTAAAGGTGTTTTAATCCACTTGAACTTTAAATGGCCGCGAAAAGCTATTTTCAAACTGTTTTAGTGGTTTAGATAAGCCTTGTTCAAAGAGAAAGAGAAAGAAGAAGAAGAAGAAAGCTATCGAACTAGAGAGTTTAAACCCTCCTAGTCAACCATAATCTCTATTATACTAAAATAAGGGTACAAAGTCAAATATACCCCTACTTAAGTATGGGACAAGAGAAATAAAAAACAAATCAGAATTGCCACATCACTACACTACTTAAACTATAATGAAAAGACTAAGTTACCCTTACTCGACCAACTCTAACACTCTCTCTCAAGCTGGAGAATATATGTCATATAATCCCAACTTGTTACATATATAGTTCACTCTCCCTGAACTCAAACCTTTTGTGAACAAGTCTGCCCATTGATCACCTGAACTCACGTGTTTTGTGAACAAGCCTTTAGCCTGTCAATCCGTAGTTTGTCACTACTAGTTATGACTATATCATCCACATAAACCCCTAATAAAATCGTTTCGGTTTCAGAATCATAGCTGAACATTGAGTGATCGACTTGACATTGTTTCATTCTGAAAATTTTCACCACTTCACTGAGTTTCCCAAACCAAGCACGAGGAGACTGTTTCAGCCCATAAATTGCCTTTTCGAGTATACACACTTTACCATCCTCCCCCTAAGCAACAAGCCCTGATGGTTGCTCCATGTAGACCTCTAAAAGATCACCGTGGAGGAAGGCGTTTTTAATGTTAAGTTGAAACAAATGCCAATCATACATAACTGGCAAGGAAATCAAGACATGAACTGAACCAATTTTAGCAACAAGAGAGAATGTCTCCATATAATCCACCTGATACAATTGAGAGTAACCCTTAGCTACCAGTTGGGCTTTCAACTATTCCACACTACCATCTGGTAAATATTTAATAGTTATATCAGTGATTTAAAAGGCGCGCCTAGGCGCACAGGCAAGGCGCATTTTGGGGTATGTGCCTCGCCCAGGTCCTAGACACACCCCTTTCAAAAGGCGCACGCCTGGTGTGCCCGATGCGACTCAGCCCAGGCGTGTGCCTTTTTAAATTTTTGCATTTTTTTTGCTGTTTTTTGAGTCTAACGACTGGGCCAAGGGCTCCACCCCCGGACCCCCGACCACGCCTCTCGAGGCAAGCCCGAACAAGTCTATGTTAGGGCCTGAAATTCTTATTTCTCACATAAAAAATAATGATTTTATAACTTTCATTGCCTTTTAAGAAATTTTATTGCAATGAATGAATAAACAACATTAGCAAATAGGGGGTTCTACTCCGCTCCGGTTCGCTCTCTTCACTCGCTCACCAAAGCTCTGAGAACCCTTGCTAATGTTGTTCATTCATTCATTGCAATAAAATATCTTCTTAAAAGACAATGAAAGTTATAAAATCATTATTTTTTATGTGAGAAATAAGAATTTCAGACCCTAGCATAGACTTGTTCGGGCTTGCCTCGAGGGGCGTGGTACAAGGTGACTCATAGAATCAAGAATGCAATATGTTTTACATCACATTAGCTACTTGAAGCAATGCAATTAAGGAGAAAAAGTGATTGTGGGCTTTACATGCTTGAAAATGCTTTATATGTTTGCTTTTATTTTTAAATTTTCATTTGAATACGCTTTACATGTTATGTTTATGTATTTTAATTTTAGATAATAGGTTTTTTAAAACATTTATTTGAAAATTTAAGTTTATATTTTTTATTAACATT